TTCTTTTCCTTTGGGTGATACCCAGTAGTGGGATTGCTGGGTTGAATGGTAGATCTACTTTTAGTTCTTGGGGAATCTCCATACTGTTTGTCAGAGGTTGTACTAGTTTACATTTCCACCAAGAGTATATAGCATTCTCTTTTCACTGCAACTGCACCAGCATCTATTGTTTTTTGACATTTAAAAAAATGTGTACCCATCAGTGGAACCAGGATGCTTGAAGGCAACTTATGAAGGCAAAACAGGACTAGTTCCAGAAAATTATGTTGTCTTCCTCTAATACGATTTAGTGGATGGCAGTATCTTCATGGTATCCATGGTAACGAATAATAAGCGCTATGATTTATCTGACACAGATACGGGGATCAGAGCCCACTAAATGAAAACAATCAATTTCTATCAAGTCTTTCACCAGCAGACTATGTAGCTCCCTGTTAATGGGAAAAAAATGTTTAAATTGTTGACCATTATTTTTTGGGTTGATTTCTTATTTTTAAATATCTTGCTTTTTCTTTTTCCTTTGGACAAGTAACTCTCCACGGTGTCTCTTCCATACCAGTTGTAGGGTCTCAAATTCTGTGTTAAATACTATATCCAGAAATTTGGAAACCAAAAATCTGCTATATGAATTTTGAGATCTGTCCCTTACTGCCTGGCATTCTCTGAGGAACCTTGAAATCATTACTTAAAAAATGTAATTTAAGTTGCTCATTTATTTTTTTTCTTAAAAATATACTGCTTTTATATATATATAAAAAAATCTATTGTGTTTTTACAAGAGCAAAGTGGTATCTCATTGTGGTTTTAATTTGCATTTCCCTGATGATTAGTGATGTTGAGCATTTTTTCATATGTTTGTTGGCCAATTGTCCAATTTTCTTTTTAAAAAAAATCTATCCATATCTTTCACACACTTTTTGATGGGATTATTTTTTTCTTGCTGATTTGTTTGATTTCTTTGTAGATTCTGAATATTAGTCCTTTATAGGATATATAGTATGCTAATATTTTCTCCCATTCTGTAGGTTACTTATTAACTCTGTTGATTATTTCCTTTCTATGTACCTACAACGAACTAATTTTTGGCAAAGTAAACAAAAACTGAGGAAAGGACACCCTGTTCAATAAATGGTGATGGGAAAATTGGATAGCCACGTGCAGAAGAATGAAACCGGATCCCCATCTCTCATGCTATACAAAAGTTAATTCAGGATGGATTAAAGATTTAAATGAAAGACCCGAAGTCATAATAATTCTAGAAAAATACACAGGAAAAACTATTTTGGACATTGGCCTAAGCAAATAATTTATGACTAAGATTCTAAAATAAAACACAGCAATGACTAAAATTTAAAAATGAGACTTAATTAAACTAAAAAGTTTCTGCACTACACAATTTTTGTACAAAATATCTAGTATTCAATTGAAAATTGAACAAGCATATCAACATGCAAGGCTATATGACAGAAGACAAAGAAAAAAAGAACAATTAGATATCTTGAAGCACAGATGATACAGATATTAAAGTTGGCAGACCAGGAATTTGAAATAACTCATTAAAATTTTCAAGGAAATAGTGGAAAGGCTGGACTAAAAGGAAGAAAAATGTGAAATATCATGCAGTAATTGCCATCCATATAACTGGAAATTAAAAACTCAATAGATAAATTTATAGCAAAAAAAAATGACAGAGATAGGATTAGTAAACTGGAAGGAAGAGCAATTAAAAATATGTAAACTGAAGTAGAGATAAAAAGAATAAGAAATACAGAAAAATGTGTGGAGAAAACACCATATGGTGAAAACTTCTCACATATGTTTAAATGGAGCCCTAACAGGAGGTAAAAAAGAATGGGGCAGCAAATATTTGATAAAATATAGGCTGAAAATTCTCCAAAACTAATGAAAGACATAAACTCACAGATTCAAAAAGCTTTAAAACCTAAACAGAACAAGCAGAAATAAAACCAAAACAATATTTTAGCTCACCAAAGCAAAACTACTGAAAAGCAAAGACAAAAAGAAAAACTTAAAATTCCATGTTATTTGGTGGATATTGACAAGTCAATTGATTCTAAAATTTAACTATAAATTCAAAGGAGAAGAGAATTGTTAAGACAATCTTGAAGAACAAATGGGAGGATTTACTCTGCCAAAATAATCAAAATTTATATAGAGTCTCAAAACTTAATTATGACATTGATGTAGGGATAGACAAATGAGAGAATACATATACTTACACATATGTAGTCACCTAATTTATAACAATGGTGGCAATACAGTTCAGTGGGTAGAGAATGATCTTTTCAATGCATGGGCCTGGGAAAATTACATATTCATAAGGAAAAAAATAACCTTAAATTTACATCATAGATGACAGTCAATTCCAAATTGATTGTAGATTCATTGTGAAATGTAAAACAATAAAATTTTTAGAAGTGAACCAGAGAATTACATACCAGTTGAGCAGGTAAGTGGAGAGTGAGGTCCTATTCATGAAGCTGGCTCTTGATGGTACCACACATAAAAATTTGGCTTTATTTAAACATCCAATAACTCCAGCAACACTGAGCTATGTCTAGAACTCCTCACATTTATAAATTAGTCAAAAAAATTCCACGTCTGTGGAAAAATTCTAATCAGCATGGAAAAAAGAGCACAAAACATACGGGTAGGTGTTTTGTTTAGATTTATGATCTCTTCATTTAATTTTGAGTCTGCTAGAATTAGTGAACAAAATAATGCTAACTTTTACAATGTACCAGAATGGATGCCCCTGAAAGAAGCAAAATTCAAAGCAGCTTGAAAACTGTCACAAAACAACATAGTGACAAATACAGAATTAAAACTGAACACTTGCGTGATCATTAACACGTTGCCAGAATAAAGTGGTTTTCATTTTATTTTTCCTGTGCTATTAAATACATGGTTGAACACAGATGTGACTGGCTTAGTATACAGCATCTGTTCTTGCCTCCCCAAAACTGGAAGTTGGAGTTGGCATGTTTTTCCACTCAGCATAAAAAAAAAAAAAAAAAATCTATTCGCATCAAAATTATCAGTGAGCAATTAAAGATTTGCAGCGAAAATAGAGGGTTTACTTAAAACCTGACACTGCAAATTACTTAAAATAATTTAATTAGAAATGTCCATTTTTTTCTAAATTTCTCTAGACACACTTCCAACATAGAATTTTCTTCTGGCTTCATTTCACTTTTTCCACTGGCTTTCAAATGCATGCTCCCCTGATGGATCACATTCCTTGTTATGTGGACCCCGAAGAAGTATAAAGGAGATTTCTTCACAGGAAGGTGGCAATTCCAGCTAGTTAGCCATTTCTGGCATTTTTTATCCCCACGAAGGCTGGTGAAGAGCATTCTCTCTGTCACTGATATATTTCCTACAAAAAACAAAAATCTTTCTATGTTTTTTCTCTTGCCTGCCACCTCTCCACAACCACCAAAAATAAAAAATCTTCTCAAGGCAAAGATAACACCAAGATTTAACTTGATACCCAGTGCTCCATCAGCTCCTGGCTTAAACTCCTCTCCCAAGTAAGGAATTGAGGAGACTCTTCTCTACATTGTCTTTCAGAGTAGTGTTCCTATCCCAATCTGGTTGCTTATCTGTAAAGAAAGTATCTTCACTCAACTCTGGACTTGTCCCTCTCAGTTCGGTCAAAGTTCCATTGTATCAGCAGAGGTCAGTAGATAGAACTTAAGTTCAGGGAATATACAATTATTATTGGTACAAACAGGAAGTATTAATGTCTTCAAGGGGTCATCTCATAACATCCCTCTTGTATGAGGTCCTATGCCAACCACCATCATTGAGCAATTTGGCAATCATGGTAAGGAAACACTGTTGTCTCACTTTCATCATGATGATTTAATCCAAAATACAGCTGAAAGCTGCACTTTACCTCACAAATCCTAGAGAAGTTCTTAAAATATAACCTAGATGTTGCCTCCTTTGGGGAAACTTCTGTTCTCACCACACTTTTGACTTAAAGAAGGACTTAACATGTGTTCAAATGCAGCCATAAGGAAACACTGACAGCATCAGAGTGAACCATGGGTATCACTAAGGATTTTGTTGGGAGGGAAAAGAGAGGGCTGGCATTTATCACCACACTATAAACAAGTTAGTCTTTAAAAACTCCCTGTAGGTATTTCTGGTCCTTGAAGATCCTATTTGGTTAAACGGCTAATCTGTTTCATTCTGCCCTGGGCTTCTCTACCATTTCCTCATGTCACACATCATAGTCTGCCACCTTTTAAAACATCCACTCCACACATGTGGCCTTTGAGATGTTTAGTTCACTTGTGTTCTGCTTACTTTTCATGAAGAGCAATACCATCAGATCATCTGAGCTTCTTCAGACCCCTCCTGGATACAATTGACTTAAATGTTCTCCATATTCTTCATTATATCATCAACTTGTTCAAATTTATAATCACATTCTTGTATAAGTTATTAAATATTCTAGCATAAACTAAATATTCTAGCATGAACTAATGCACAATGGCCCTCTATGTATTCTACAGGCAGGTGATAACTATAAATTTCATAAGGTTTGGCATAAGGTGTGTTTGTAGCAACTACAAGTAATATTTTAGTTACATAAAATAGACATGCTAAAACTAAAAAAAGAAGACCTTTGAAATATCTGTTGAAATGTTTATATTCCTCTTTAAAAATGCAAAACTCTTTAAGTAAGGCTTACTACAGGTATATTTTTGCTAAGACAGGCTGTGAAAAGTTTTGTAGTATGTAATAAATATTCATGTTACCCAAAATATTACCATAAGTAAAATTAAAACACATAATCAGGTGGATGGATCATTAATAAGAACTTTCACAAATGCCCTATTCTTTTATTTTCTAGAGTAGATAATATTACAGTCATTTTAGTATGAAGGTTACTAGACACTAAACCATAATAAATGCTAGCATTTAATTACTGTGAATATTTATTATAATTTGAACATTTTACTTACATCTGTCAGATGGCCAAAAGTTGGTTTAGCTGTTTGGAGCATAAGTTGCTTGGTCACTGGGTCTAGTTCTAGATATTAAAAAAAAGAAAAGAAAATATTGAAAATATTATCAAAATGAGTGAAATGAGTAAAAATTAGAAAAGTTGCTAATTCTTATCATTTCCAATGTTTCAAAATAGCAGACAAAATTGGATTTCCTCTAATAATAAAATTGATTCATTAGTATTTCTTCTTAAATTCATATTCACAGACATCCAGTTCATCCCAGAGAAATTTAGCATAAATTATTTAGTCTAATTTGCATAATGTTCAACTTCATAATCAGAAAGTGGAAATTGTTTAGCACTTAACATGTTGCACATATTATTGGTTGCTTACCCAAAAGCCATTCCCTTATGCCTTGGCAGAATCACTTTCCATGACAGAGGCTGAAAATACTGTATACTTGCTTTTATTAGGATCCCATGCTCCTAAGACATAGGCATGTGACCCAAACTGAGAGTAGGGATACAATTTATTATCCAATTGTGGGCATGTTTGAGAATAAAAAGGAAGTATCAGTAATTATTCTTGGACAACAGAGGAAGGTTACTCTACCCAAACCTGATAATTGGGATTCAAGAGGAAGTATGCTCAGGCCTTTGGGGAAAGTCTGTAGTCCAGGACATAAAAACAATCTAGGATGGCCAACTATCCATTATATTTTGAACAAAGTTGTGTTAAACTACCAACCCGGGAGCAGCATCTTGTATGCATGAAGAAACAAGCACAAAGAGTATAGCCAATACACTGAAGATGGCTGAGTGAAAACAGAAAAAGCCAGACTTCGTTGACATCATTAAATAGTTTGCTTATTCTTACATGACATCATAAATAACCTTATACTTTAATTAGCTCTTTTTTCTACTTGTTTCAAAAGCATTCTTAGTTGTATATATTAATATAAATGACTATTGACTTAAATGTACTCAATAGTCTTCATTATTTCATCAATTTTTCAAACTTCTAATCACTTTCTTATATAAGTTATTAAATATTCCAGCATAAACTAGAATTTATATATATATATAAAACCATTATTTATAAAATAATATTTAGGAGCATGGTATTTTATGTACAACCCATTCAATTATTGGACAATCTGTTTTGATCATTTTCCTTTCTAGACTTATGTAATCTTCAAATTCTCCTTTTTCTTCAATATTCAATATATGATGGGTACACTAATATTGTTAAGGTAAAGATGTCCATTTCAGTCCATGCCACATAATGCCAGTAAACATATTAACCAATCTTATAGTCTACTTAAAATCAATATTCATAAAAAAATTATGATGTAACTTAATATTTTGAAATTAATATGTGAATTATATAATTTATAAAAGCAGTCAGAAAATTTTGTAGCCCAAACTCATTTGATTGTAATGAGTGGAACATACTGAAGCCAATTAAAGTAAAAAAGATGTATGCCTAAAAGACATATAAAATAATGTAGCAGACTCTCAGGGCATGGCCTAAGGGGAATTGAATGAGACACCAGGTATGTCGGGAACCAAGGATGCTAGCTAGCTCTGTACAGTGGGAACTGTATAGTCCTGGTCAGGCTGCTGCCTTTGCTTTCCCTTTCATTATCTACTCAATTCCTCCACTAGCTCATCTTGTATAATACCTAATGTGCGAGTCCCAATTTCAAGGTTACATTATATTGTAATTCAAGAAACTAACAGTTTGCCCTATTATTTATGTGACAGAGTTGATAGTATTTATTGAGAAAAGATAATTGGTTTGTCCATAGCTATACATTTATTTATAGCAGAATTCAATCAATTAAGGAACTCTTTCTTCTGGGGCCTGTGAGTGGGACACAGATATAAAATTTTATGGCTCAATAAAGAAGTCAATGATACTCAAATTTGGTCATGTATATTAGGTGCTAGGCATCACCCCAGACAAGTTGCACGTTATCTCTTGCAATCCTCTCAGAATTTCTACAAGCAGATAGTCTTGCCACAATTTTACAAATGGGAAATTGATGTCTCAAAAAAATTAAGCAATTGGCATTGCCAGGATTTTAGCCAAGGTCTGTCTAACCTGATAAAAAGGTAAAAATGGGTAATCATCCCATTTTAAGTTACAGATGTGGTTTCTATTGTTGTTAATTAACAAAAGATACAATCCAGAATTGCGTGCAGTAATAGTAATTGTATGCAGTCATAGTAATATCATTTTGTCATAATAAATGTTAACATTATTGTTCATGTTTTTTATACCAACCTTACATTACTCAGATTATGATGTTGCATTTAATAATTTAGAAAATCAAACAATTTGTATCAGAGAAAAGAATATATAGCTAAATTAAAATTAAGAATCAGTTCGTGGCATGTCTAAAGTATTATCATAACATTTAAGTTTTATTTAAATAAATCATAGTCTGAGAGTGAGTGTCATTCAATAAGCAGACTTTATTTTAGATGAGGTTGTTTCTCTCTACTTTAAGTAACTGCAATAGGCAGGAATTCAAAATGGGAAGGTGTTATCTCTGAATTGCAGTGGACTTTGACACATAAAAACTTTTCACGTTTTTTCTAACAATTCAACAAGCAAAGAGGCATGCCACTGCAAAGATGTGAACAGAATACTATGTGATTCCATTTCAGTAATTATGATGGCCATAAAAGAATTATTGTTTCCTTTTCTTTGTAGATTCGCAGAGACCTCAGGAGGGACAGCTGAAAAAGTAATGTCAGATTGATCTACGGGATATAATTCAAAGGGCCCTGCTGTTAGCAGGTTTTCCTAAAGACGAATGCCCTCAAGAGTTGACAGATTTTCATTATAGTGCTTATATAAAACTCTGAAAGCTCAATGATAGTGATAGAAATAGTATTGTGTATGGGTTCATGGAACAAAAAAGATTTAAAACTAAGGGCCTGAAGAAATGATTTTTATATGAAATTTCTTATTGGTTCTATAAATGTGGTGAGATCTATTGGTACATTTTTGATTATTAAACTAATCTTACGTTTACAGAATAAATCTGACTTGCTCAAGATGTATTGTGCCTTTTGCATATTTCTGAATTAAGTATGCTTACACAATGCTACATTTTGCATCTTTGTTTGTTTATGAGATTGGCCAGTAATTTTGTTTTCTTGTAATGTCCAGGTTTTCGCATAAAGTTCATGGTGGGCTGATTTAAAAGGTTTAGGCCAGTTTTTCCCCCTGTTTTATAGAGGGTTTGTGTAGTATTGGCACAGGTTTTCCTTAAATGTATCATAGAATTCACAGGTTAAACCAAATGGGTGTTTGTGGGAAGATTTGAAATTCTATATTCAGTTTCTTTAATAAAAATGAAATTACTCACATTTTCCCTTTCTTTTTGTAAAGATTGTCTAAGGTTTTACTTTTCTAGAAATTTGTCCATTTCACCTAAACATTCAAAGGTATTTGCGTATGTTTGCTTATAATGGCCTACAGTTTTTAAATATCAACCTCTGTACGCTCTCACCTTTCACATATAGGATAATTTATAGGATTTTTTCTTTTTTATTTTATTTTATATTTATTTATTTATTTTTTTATTTTTTCTTTTAGCATATTATGGGGGTATAAGTGTTAAGGTTACATATATTGCCCATGCCCCCCCTCCCCCAGGATGCGTTCTTTTTTTGTATGAATCTCTCTAGAGCTGTACGAATTTCATTTTTTTTTCAGTTATCTTGTGACTCTGCTGATCACCTTCACTGTTGGATGATTTACTATATATTAAATATTTTATTATTTTTCCTTTGACATTCTTTTAAGTTGCTACCCTTTTTCTAATACCTGGAAGCAGCTGATGAGCTCTTTGATTTCATCCCTTCTATTTTTCCATTTATAGTGACTAAATTTCCCTCTAAGCATGATGACTTCAGAGAAATCAACAAGTTTTGATGTGTAATTAGTATTTTCACTTCAATTATGGTTCAAATACTTTTCCATTTCCACTGTGATTTATTCATAATCCATGGGTTTTGGGAAGTGTATTTTTTCTTTTTTTTTTTTTATTTCAAAAGGTTAAGGAGGAAAACATATTTTTGTTACTTGAATACTTTGTGTAATGATTAAGTTGCAGTTTTTGTTTGCCCATCACAAAAATAGTGTTCACTGAACCCAATAGGTTAATTTTTTATACTTCACTCCCTCCTACCCTCCTCCCTTCTTGGTTTCCAATGTCCTTTACATCTCTTTGTGCCCATATGTGCCCATCGTTTAGTTCTTAATTTTTAGAGAGTACATGTGGTGTTTATTTTTCCATTTCTGAGATAATTCACTTAGGATAATGATCTCCTGTTCCATCCAAGTTGCTGCAAAAGATAATATTTCATTCCTTTTCATAGCTGAGTAGCACTTCATGATTTTATATATATATATATATATATACACACACACACAAACACACACACCACACTTTCTTTACTCACTCATGAATTTATGGGCACTTAGATTGATTCCACATTTTTGCAATTGTTAACTGTGCTGTGATAAACATGTACAAATATAAATAATATATATAATGACTTCATTTCTTTTGGGCAGATACCCAGAAGTGGGATTGCTGGATGCAATGAGAGGTATATATTTATTTCTTTGAGAAATCTCCATGTTGTATTCCATAGAAGTTGTACTAATTTACTGTCCCACCAACAGTAAGTAAGCATTCCTTTCTCTCTGCATCCATGCCAAAAAGTCCTCTAGATATTGGCCTACACAAAGAATTTGTGAAGAAATGTCAATCACAGCAACAACAAAAATAAATAAATGGGTATTAATTAAATTAAAAAGATTCTGCACAGCTAAGGAAATAATCAACAGAGCAAATAGATAACCTACAGAATGGGAGCAATTATTCACAAGCTATATATCTGATAAAGGGCTAATAACTAGATTCTACAAAGAACTCAAGCAAATCAGCAAGAGAAAAACAAACAACTCCATTTAAAAATGGGCAAAAAACATGAACAGAAGCTTTTCAAAAGACTATGGACAAATGGTCAATAAACATATGAAAAAATATTCAACATCA